TATCAATGTATTTTTTGCAAGAAGCTAGCAAGCATTTTGATTTGCATGAAATCATGCAACTGAAAATGCAAGAGCAAAGAGCTTGCATGATTTCAGTGTGAAACCAGAAAGAAAGAGTGGGAGCATGAAGCAGGGCAGAGAACACTTCCCTTTAGCATTACAGACACTGGCTCATGGTGAAGCCACAGCTTCATGCAGGTTCAAGCTTCACAGCTGTCAACATCTCAGCTGAAATCAACAAAACTAGATACTATTCTTAAGTGACTTGCACATAACAGTATAAATTTAATATGAGGAATGATCATTACTGATTACTGTCGATACAATGGTTCTTAACAGTGGCAGCCCTCATTACACAGCATGTGTTTCTCTTGCCCCCCCTGATACCAGAGTCCACACTAGCTGATAAGAAGGCAGCTCATTTATTCTGTCCCCGATTGCTCTGTTCGCAAGTAAAAATAAAGAAGCTCAAAGCTATGTCAAAAGTTCGGAGTACACTGCAGAGCACCTCAGCAGCACCTCTTAGTTCTTGATGCACACCTTGCTGCAGAAAAAGGCAGAATCTGCTCACTTCTTCCCCAGTGTGAAACTCTGCAACTACAGGTGCAACACTTTGAAGAGAATATGGAAAACTAAGTATCCAGACCATAAACTGCTAATGCAATATAAGAATTTATCTTAAAAACAAACCATTTTAATAATTTGTAGTTGCCTCCTTGGCCATAAAGTACTGCCATGAGTGAGCTAAAAAGTTCTTTAACTGGAAGGAGATGTATTTTTATTCATCCTATACAGAAAGAAAATATTACTGTGTAGAATCATAGAATCGTTTGAGTTGGAAGGGTCCAACTCCCCTGCAATGAACAGGGACACCCACAGCTCCATCAAGTGCTCAGAGCCCGGTTCAGTCTGACCTTAAATGTCTCCAAGCATGAGGCTTCCATCACCTTTCTGGGCAACCTGTGCCTATGCCTCACCACCCTTATTATTAAAAACTTTTTCCTTATATCCAATCTAAGTCTCCTCTCTTTTAGTTTGAAACAGTTTCCCCTTGTCCCATCACAACAGATCCTGGAGTCTGCTCAAGAGTTTCTCCCCTTCCTTCACATAGCTCCCCTTTAGCTACTGAAGTGCTGCTGTCAGGTCTCCCCAGAGCCTTCTCTTCTCCATGCTGAACAGCCTGTTCCAGTTCTACCAGCCTGTTCTCACAGGAGAGGCATTCCATCCCTTGGATTGTTTTTGTGTATATAGTGATATTTGGAACAAAACACCAAAATGACAGGTTTTAAATACCATAATTTGCCACCCATGTGTCTTGATGCATAAAGGTCTCTTTCACAAAGTCTGCTTCAATATTTGTCTCACCAAGCATTTTAGTTTTATAGAGCTAAGCTACAGTCCATAAGAGATATCAAACTAAATCCAAGCGAAAGAAATGTGGATGATCAGGTAACAGCAGTGAGCAGAAGACTCACACTGTGCCCATTCTCCTTCAGGTCAGTGGCAGATTCTGGGCGCTGGGCCCAGGCCCAGAATCAGCAGACAGACAGGTTTCCTCCTTTTTGCAGCTCAGCAAAGGGATTCACAGTTTTCCACCTCAAAACTCACATTACTGTGGGCTTTCCAAAACCAGAACTCTTTTCTCTCTTTTGCTATGGTAACAGGACCCAGCAGGTGCTATTCACTAGCCTGATTAAATCAGTCAAAACCAGTGGAAAGATTTCAAATACATTCACTGGGCTTTAGGTCAGCAAAATGTAAATTAAGTAAAGATGCAGTTCAGAGGGAGTAATCCTGCAAAGAGAGATTCTTCCTTTAATCTCAGTCTGTGATTGAAGTCTAAAATCTTGTAAAAGAGCAGCAGGTTCACTTTGAATTGCAGTGGGCTTAGTAGAGACTGGACTTCAATCTCTTCCACGTGCTGTATAAAAACAACTCTACCTCCTATCTGCTAGGGTTTGTTCAGAATCACAGAATGGCCAGGGTTGGAAGGGACCTCAAGGATCATGAAACTCCAACCCCCCCTGCCACATGCAGGGCCACCAACCTCCACATTTAATGCTAGACCAGGCTGCTCAGGGCCCCATCCAATCTGGCCTTGAACACCTCCAGGGACGGAGCATCCACAACCTCTCTGGGCAGCTGTTCCAGCACCTCACCACTCTCTCTGTAAAGAATTTCCTCCTGACATCCAACCTAAATCTTCCCTTTCTCAACTTTAAACCATTTCCCCATGTCCTGCAGTTATCTACCCTTTCAAAGAGTTGATTCCCCTCCCCTCTGTAGGCTCCCTTTAGGTACTGAAATACACCTGGTGTAGGGAACCTGCTTTGGCAGGGGGGTTGGACTCAATGATCTCTGGAGGTCCCTTCCAACCCCTATGATTCTGTGATTCTGTGATTGAAATGCTGCAGTGAGGTCACCCCGCAGCCTTCTTTTCTCCAGGCTGAACAAGCCCAGCTCCCTCAGCCTGTCTTCATAGGGGAGGTGCTGCAGTCCCCTGATCATCTTTGTGGCCCTCCTCTGGACCCTCTCCAACAGCTCCCTGTCTTTTTTGTACTGGGGGCTCCACACTTGGACTCAGTATTCCAGATGGGGCCTCACAAGAGCAGAGTAGAGGGGAACAATCACCTCCCTGTCCCTGCTGGCCACTCCTCTTTTGATGGAGCCCAGGATACCCTTTGCCAAGGGCACACTGCTGGCTCATATTAAGTTTTTCATCTACCAAGACCCCCAGGTCCTTCTCCACAGGGCTGCTCTCAAGGACCGCTCCTTCCAGACTGTAGGGATGCCTGGGATTCCTCCGGCCCAAGTGCAAAACTCTGCACTTTGCCGTGTTGAACCTCATCAGGTTCACCCGGGCCCACCTTTCTAGCCTCTTGAGGTCACTCTGAATGGCATCCCTTCCTTCAACCATGTTGACTGCACCACTCAGCTTGGTGTCATCAGCAAACTTGCTGAGGGTGCACTCGATTCCATCATCGATGTCATTGATAAAGATGTTAAAGAGCACCGGTCCCAAGACAGATCCCTGGGGGACGCCGCTCGTTACCAGCCTCCACCTGGACATAGAGCCATTGATGACCACCCTCTGTCTGCAGCCTTTCAACCAGTTTCTTATCCATCGAGTGGTCCTGAAGCACTTAGCTGCCTTACTTAGGACCTTCAGAGCACATAACCATGGTTTTAAATTCTTTCTGATGGAGAAATCAGGATATTCTAATCTGAATTTAAAACCATTGACCTGATGAATATAAAGTAAGTTAAAGAAGGATAAAAATAAAATCACCTCTGGATATTTGAGTTGTTTGTTCTATGAACACCTCTATAATATTTGAGTTGTTTACCTTGTGCAAAGATACCATTTCCTTACTGAAAAATTTCTCTCCCCCCAAAGCCACTTTTATCATCTGTCTGTGGAACAATAGCATCAAAGCCAACAGCAGCACTCTGAAGGAAAAGTTTGAGTGCAGCAGGAGCCTGTACACTTCTAAGGCAGGGCCTCAGTGGCTGATTTCAATAGGTTTGAGCTCTTGGTAACTGATATGAGCTGCCCTGCTGCAAGTCACTTATAATCTACAAGCAGGGTTTATTAGCTTAGGTTTAGCCTGGCAGCAACGCAATTACAGGGGCAGAGTGACTGCCTGCAGTCTGCTGGGAGGACACGTGTTAAATATCCTACGTTTCAGGAAATATCTGAGATCCTAATAGCTAGCTCTGCAGTTACTGCAGTTGAGGAAATGGGTTCTTAATTTGTCTGGCTCCAGCAGAATTGTTTTTCAGGTCAGCTGACTGGGAGAAGAGTTGGGAGCTTTTGGTGGTAGAGGGGGTTTCTGTCTTTTTTTTTTTCTTTAAAAAAAAAACAAAAAAAAACAAGGACCATTCTTCCTTCCCTCAATCTAATTAAAAAAGATCCTGAAACAATTATACAAAGGAGTCATTAATAAAGCAAGTCCAATGCTTAAGAACACGATGCTATGCCTCTTCCTCAAATTTGCCTGCATAGCCAGTGAGCTCAGAACCTTCCTTCAAACCTCTACACCTGGGCTCGTTTGATAGCAGAGGAAGAGATAGTTGTTTTCTGGGCAAACGGGTGATGGCAGGGCAGCCAGGTGGGAGACCACCCAGGTAATGGGCCAGAAGCACTGCTCAGCAGAGCCCAGCTCAGCACCAGGCTGCCAGCCCAGCAGGCCAATCCACCTATTTGTCTTCACACCAGGGCAGCAAGGCCTGAGTGCAGGTGGACAAGGAGGCAGCAGTCTCTCTTGGCTCCGGCTTCATGGCACAAAGCCTGGACAGACCTGAGCTGGCTCTGCATGGAAATCCCACAGACCGGTCTTTCTTGCATTACTCCAATTTAGGAGGAGCACAATGGGGACTCTGCTGAGTCTCAGGATGGCCAGCATGAGTCTGTCAAAATTATTCATCACAGCTCTGCAGCTCCACAAGGAATCCTGCTGTCCTGCAAGTACAGATCTGCAATCCAGACAGCCCACCTGTGGGTTTCAGACTGAGCACAGACAGAAGGATGTCCTAAAGACCTGTGAGTCAGGAAGGCAGGATTTGGTACAGTACTCCATCTAAAGCTCTCCGAACCTTCTTTTCATAACTGTAAAAATGGCAACAATGCTTTTTCCCCACCCTTTCATAAGTTTGCCCATTACAAAGAGCTGAGATGAGGGCTGAACCCTGCTTTGGGCCCAGCAGTGCAACACCAGGCATGGGTACAACCGAAATGCAGAGCCAGGCAGTGCTGCAGCCACAGCTGTGATTCATACAGGGTCTGAGCTTCCCCAAGACCCCAGGGATTATCCTCAGGTGCCTGGAGATGTGCTTTTAAGTGTTAAGCTCTCAAGTGCCTTGCAGGGTAAGCAAGGATGTGGGCTGAGGAACCACTAGACGATCCTTTTCTTCTCACTTTACCTGCCCCTGTTATGCTGACAATAATGTACTCTGGCATTTTTCACAGGAATCTAATGAAAAAATTGTTTTTCTTTCAGCTATGATGAATGCGTGGGGCCAGGAGCAACGCAAATATATATTCCCACAGATGATCCCCCCCCCTATTCCCTTACGGATCCCTGTCAAAGAAATGAAATATCTATAAACATCAGCCTGGAGGAGGAGGGAGAAGCGGCAGGGACTGCAGGGCAGGCAGCACACCACGCCACCAGGATACAGGGCTGGCAGCAGCCCGTCCCGTCCATCTCTCTGTCGTCGCTCCCCACAGAGGCTGCTCCCCGGTACGAAGCTGTGGTGTGTGAGCACAACATCCCCATCCCGCTGGTGCCAGTGGAAGTACTGAAAAACTCTCCCTCTGACTGTCAGACCATTCTGAGCCAAATCCTGTGAATAAAAGGGGCTTTCTCCTTCCATCTTTCTGAAGAACTCAGACTGAGAAAAAGAACACATTTAAATGGAAGAATAAAACCTCTTAAAGTTTTACCTATTTTATATCTTTACTAAGGGATGTAATGGGATTGGTTTTTTTATTTTTTACAGTGAATTTTGAAAGCTTACCTAAACTTCCCTCTTTGTGCTTCAAAGCGTTCTGTGGCGTCACGTAGCACAGAACAGCAGCAGTGAGGAGCAGTGCGATGGCCTTCCTGAAGCATCTCAGATCTCACTGACATTGCCACTCAATGTATATATATATATGTTATCTAGTCAAGCTTACTCCTCAATTTGATGAAATTTGCATGCTTTAGAGCAGAAGGAAGGAGAAGAGCATTTCTTGTCTTTGTAGGTGTCAGTAGTACACTTTATCCAGTGTCTTGGCAACAAAGCATTTTTTAAAAATCCTTTTTCTAAGTATGTATTCCCACAGACAGAAACAGAACACAGCCTGCAAAACATGATTATCAGCACCCTACAGAAGCCAAATAAAAAAGTGGAATCTTTTGATACCCGTGCTTTGCCCTCAGATACCCCAGCCAGTTCCAAAACCTGCTGTAAATCTCTCACAAAGTCAGGAGCAGGAAGCAGGAAAGTAGCAGTAGCTGCCCCAACACCAGCTGCTACACCAAGGGCACTGCGCCCAGCTGTGTGAGGGCCCAGGGCTGCACACCCCTCACTTGACACACCTGGAACCCCATCCAGCATGCCTACACTGCCAGGCACTTCAGTTACAAGCCTGCAGGATTAAGAAAGGACCTCCAGCAACTGAAGAAGCGTGAGGTAAATAGTAGATGCTGGCTTTGGCACACACAGTAACAGAGAAACTCACTGTGTACAGAAACTCCTCATATTAGACACAGCCCTCCTCACTGATGTTTTGCTATTCACATTAGCCCCAGTTCATAGGCTTGGACTCTCATGTGCTCATCTGATGAATGTGTGGAGGAGGGGATGAGCGCTCATAGGAGCAGCAGGAGGAAGTCACAGAAATGAGTTTCATGTTGCAAGTTACATACAGTGTCCACTTAAGGACCTCAACCAAGTTTTCATCAGCACAGTTATCAGAGGTGCATCTGCATTAAATCTCTTAGAGACGTTCTCACTGAAAAAATGTGTAACTTTTACACTGATGAAATGGACTTCAGGTTATTACCCCCACTAAGGATAAGTAAAAAGGAGTATAAGCAAACATAGAACTGTATTTAACAGCAAGCATCGTTCAAAATATTAAAATTACATTTCAATTTTCTGCAAATAGTAAATGATTTCCAACAGTAATCATTACTCAACACTCCAGAGATCGATGCAAATATAATTAATATATGGTTGGGAAATAATCATTTGGTCCTTACTGCTCTGTAAATCATACTATTACTGAGTCACAAGCACATGATGGAATCAGTAAAGTAAGCATTTTTTTCTAAGCAGATAACAGTAAATATCTATTCTGCTAAAAAAATAGAAATCTTTTGCAGATCTCCACAGTTCTCAATGTATTATACCCAAAACAACAAAAATTCACAATTTTGCATCGCAAAATAAGCTGGTGGCACTGCAGAATTTCAGCTACATTCAGTACTTGTATCTTTAATGGACAGAGCTATTCTTCTGTATGAAGTACCAGTGCAGACAGTTCTGTGGCACACAAAGTATCCCGCAGTAATACCCAGAACTCTGCACTACCAATCAGGGCCAGAAGAGAAAACCAACACAAAAGTTCAGCAGCCAGATTTATTGGCAGGAAGATAAGAAGTGAAGGGAAGCACAGAGGTTTATGCAGAACAGGACATGATGTAATGGGGACAGACCAGAACTGTGGGCTGATGCTGGGGCCTGGAGAGGGAATCTAGCAAGTATCAGAAGGTAAATGGGATTTTGGTTTCTGAATGTCTTTCCTACCTGTACAGCAAAGCTAGGGGCTCTGCTGAAGGCAAGCCATTCACAAGTGTCTACTCTGTTATACAAATACATCCAGTTTCTGTGTTCTGTGGGCAGTGCTTCTGTCTGGCTGTTAACCTGACATGGATTTCGGGCCCTGCCACTACCTTTATATCAGAGGAAGATAATAATTTGATTTTACAGAATAAATTTATTTTAAGCAGACTTCTGAAGAAAACGGGAGATTTATACTGCGCCTCACGACAGAACTGCTATACTGAAATGACAGTAGAACAAATCAAACTCCTTCCCCATTTGAGGACAGGCACAGCAGCACTGAGAGCTGCCTGCTCCTGCACTGTGCTGCACCGTGGGGCGGCCGCCTGTCACACAGCACAGAGCACACAGCGCGGCCCAACCACCCAATAACCAACCGAAGCACTCCGGGCAGAGCACCTCAAGAGTACGAGTCAGCTCCCATTAAGCTCAAAGAAATTCACAGCTGCTTATCATTATCATAAACTCTGGCATCATTGTAAAGGCAATCCTAAAGCCAAGCTGAAAGTAGGCCTCGTGTTTATTACATGATCAATAGGAGAACACAGACTGCTTGGAGACGCTGTTTCTTACCTACAAGACAACAGCGCTGTATTTCTGTAGTCATCTCTTCTGCTTTGATTTTTGGTACGTGGATCTTTGCATACAACTTTTATTAAAGAACATAGACGTACTCAGTGCAGCTTCCGTGCTTTTATTGTGCCAGTATCGCCCTCAGGTGAAGCATCACAAACCGCCACAAACACATGCAGAGGCACCACAGTCTAAGGTCAGGAGGGAAAGGAGAAGCGGGTGAGCAACAGGCCAGTGTTTCCCCCTGTTTCAAACAGACAATTCTCAAGCACAGCGGGATGAGTAACGTTGTATTTCCCAAGCACAGATCACATCCAACTCCAACTGCTCCTCAAACAGGCTGACAACAAATCCCACCTGGGGAAACAGACTCCACGTAGAATTACAACCACAGACTCTTTAAGTTACCATACAAGAGTGTTCATCCCTTCTCCTCTGCTCACAGCAGTGCGTGTTTCAACACCGGCTTCTGAACTCACAAGCGTGGAGTAAATTGCACACAGCTCCATATGCACAAGCATTCTCACTTCCACCAAAGCAAGAAAAGCCAAGAAGCAGAACTGCAGAGACACAAAGTTTTAAGGAACTTAGAGGTATGCACAGCAGCCCATTTGGCCTTTGGGCTTGATCCTCCCAAATTTTTCTCATATGGAGTAATATTACTCCAACAACACTCCTCTGCCAAAATCAGCCCAACTGCAATGGAGGGAAAAACAAACAAACAAACATAAAGCAACAGCAGGCACACGGCTCGATGCAATGCACTGTATTGGTACCGTGTCTTTTGAATTCCAAGCAACAATCTGTACAGCTGTTAGTGCGCCGTGAAGGGAGGGAAGGAAGGAAAGGAGGGAAAGGAAGGAGGGAAAATGCTCGTATTGTTCTGCTAAAAAAAAAAAAAGAGTAACAAAATGCAGCCATTTTTCTACACGACGGAGAACCGCAGAGGCTGAAGCACCCCGTGCCGCCCGCAGGAGCAGCCGCGCTGCAAGGCGATCTGTGGCCACGCGCCCGGGCCGCAGAGCTCCGCACGAAGCGAGGGAGCGGCGCCGCGCGGGCGGCTCGGGGAAAACCGCTGTGTTTGCAGCACCGCGCGGCCGCCGCCTGCGAGACGGGAAGGGCTCCGCCAGCGAGCCTGAGGCGCGCCCCGGGCACAGAGCCGGACCTGCCCAGCGGGGAGTGCACGTTAAGGCCTACCGCGCACGGCGTGCAGCCCGTACCGAGACGAGCCCTACGGCACCACGAGAGCACGCCTGGATGGGCTGAAACCGCTCTGCAACAACGCCGAGCTCTGGGGAAGCCCGCACCGCACCCATCTATGGAGCCACACAGCACAAAAAGCGGAGCCCAGAAACCGAGACCGGCAACGCCACCTGCACAGGAGCCGCCCGAGCCCGGCAGAACGCGAACCGAGGCCGCCTTACCTGGGCTCGGAAGCCGCTGCACCGCCGCCCTCACACGACGACCATCACCGCGACCACGCCGCCGCCTCGTGACGCCCATCCCTCACGCGACGCCGCCGCGCTTCCCGCGCTCGGTTAACCCCGCCCTCGCGCCGCCGCTCGCGGCGCGGCCGGCCCCGCGGCGCTGCCCGACGGCCGCCAGGGGGCGCCCTCCGCCGCCTTTCGCTTTCGGTTCGCGGCCTCCCGCCCCGCGCGCGGACGGGCCGGGACTCCGGCGGGCGGGGCGGCGGGAGGGCGGCCCCGCGCCGCCATGGAGGAGCCGGCGGCCGAGGAGGAGGAGGAGGTGCTGCGGGACTACCTGGCCTACTACGCGGCCCGGGGGGCGGAGGGGCGGCTGGCGGCGTGCGACGAGGCCGCCCTGAAGGCGAGGGCGCGGCGGCTGCCGGAGCGGCGGGGCGCGCTGGACGTGCGCGGCGTGGCCGAGCGGTGCCGCCGGGCCCGGGGGCGGCGGGGCGGCAGCGTGCTGCGGGACCTGCTGAAAGCGCTGGAGGTCCTGGAGCTGCTGTGCGTCAACCTGCTGCTGTCCCCGTGGCGGAAGGAGATCAGGTCGCTGAAGGTAGGCGGCACGGCCTTCCCCAGGCCTTTCCCCGGAGCGGCTCCGGCAGCGCGGGGCAGCGGCGAGGCCTTCGGGCGTAGCGTCGATCCCGCGGAACGGCTCCGGGCGTCGCGCGTGACACCGCGGCTCGGAGCCCGGCCCCGGCAAGCCGGCAGCGTCGGCGCCCGAAGGCAGAAGCCACGCGAGGCGCTCGGGCTGGCGGCCCCGCGCTGCTGCTGGGGCGGCCGAGCGTACGGCGGGGCGGCATCTCTGAGCGCGAGGGTTACGGCTAAGCCGAAAACCACTTCGATTTTACAAACTAGGCCTCGTGCCTCCGGTAGCTCCGAAACGACACGTTAAACTTTTCTCTTTCTTTCCCAGTCTATTAGGCAGCAGCACTTTAGACAAGTCATGCTGGGAGGGCAGCTCGTGCGACAGGAGCACGTTTCAGCACTGTTATTTCCCCCGAATAGCCTCAGCACAGAAGGGCGCTTTCAAAGTGACCTAGTTCCAGGAAAGCAAAGTTAGAGCAGCACTCTGAATCGCTGAGAAACAAAATGATACGCTGCTGTCACCCGCTAAGAAATATGGGTAACAGCAAGTGCATCTCTTTAAGAAAAGTTAAACCTCGGTGATTGATTCCACAGATCCTCTGTTGAAAAGGTCTTGTTTTTCAGTGGAACGCAGGACTCGCATCCGAATGTCTCTAGTTTGATTCAAGTGATTTTCCTTCTCTCTCCTTTTCTGCATATTGATGCTCTTGGCTGATACCTTACCAGTTTTAAACTGGCGTAACATTGCTGTGCTGCAGCAAGTGTGTGAGAGGCTGGCAAAATGATGCTGTTAGAAAAGCCTCACTCAAATTCACAACTCAGATTCCAACAAAGTAGTTTTTAAAAAGATTGAAGTAATTTTTGAAGTAGTTTTGTTCTTATGGAGTCTTTCACGCTTCCCCCATCCCCACACCCCACCGTTCATCTGTTTTTCACTGTTCCGTTCTGTTGCAGACATTCACCGGTAATTTTGTCTACTATGTTCAATCTGTGCTCCCAGATGACATAGTAAAAACAGTACTGGAGAAAATAGGTTACATTGCAACAACAGCAACAGAGTTTTCACTTGTCAGAAAGAGAAACAATGAGGAAACAAAACAGACTGCCTTTGAAATATTCCTGGCAAGAATTGAGTGTGAAACCATCCTCGAAATGACAAATGAAGAAAAACACGGCAATTTGGAGAGGACTTCGCAGAAGAGATCACAAGTGCACTGTCATCACAAAAATAAGGACAGAGAGGATCAGACGCCCCAGAGAGAAGACTGTGAAAATCTAGAAAATAAAGAAAATAGTGAAACGTCTTTGTGCCTTGCTACTCAACAGAAGCCTTCACCTAGTAGCAGTATGTCCTTTGAAACCACTCGGAATCTGAAGATCAAAGATGACACTCCTCACTTAGCAGTAACTCAATCCACTAACAGGCTTCAGGATCATCAAAAGCAAGTCATTAACACAGTACACTTTCCGGGCCAATGCTCAGACAGCGAGGACTTCTTGATCAAATATAGTGACATTGTCATAAGACAAACGCCTATTTTCAGTGAGAATCTTTCTCCAGAAGCTTTTGAAAAAAAGCCAAGAGCCAGCCTAAGCAAGGAATGTGTTTTGGCAGCCACTGCCCAGTCAACTGCAGATGAGCTCTGGTCGGCGCCACTCTCGCCAGGAGCAAGTGGTCCACCAGCCTTTGCAATATTTGCTGACAGCACTTGTGACAGTAAAAGCTCTTCGGAGTACGAAGCTCAACAAATTGCTGAAGAGTCAATTGAAGCAAAAATTAATGATGCCATAAACTGCGTAGACCCAGACCCTGCAGACAAACCCAGTGAGCTGAAGTCTCTGCCATACACGGATATCACATCTGTCCAAAACTGCCCCATCCCTAGGGAAGAGGAAGTCTGTGATCTGTCTTTAACCTTCACAAAGCTACAAGTCAAGGACACTCAGGAAGATCTGATGTATCCAATAGAGGAAACTGGGCACCCTGAGTCACTATCATATGCAAGTGACAGGAATGTAAGAGAACTGAATCATTCCAAAATGAAATGCACATACTCAACTAATGCTGAAATGCAGAACAGAGCAGCTGCATTTATTGAGCCATCTCTGGATCTGTGCTGTACTACTGAGAGCATGGAGGATCCCACTAGTGGCTCTGAAGGCAAGGGACTATTAATGGGTACTCCCAATGCACATAGGGCTTCTGAGTGCTTCAGGCACATCAGAGAGCCTCCTAATCCCACCTACATTCCACCACGAAGTATTGATGTTCGGTCCCCAAGCAGAAGAAGCACCAGTGCACAGGGCAGAAGGAACCTTCTGCATCCCAACAGTGAATCCAGTGAAGTAAAACCAGAGAACTATAATTTAAAAGTAAATGAAATCCAGGAGCCTTACGTTATTATTGACAAAACTGACCAAGGAATGTTGTGCTAGCACACTTGATTCTAACAGTGCTTTATTTGTAATTTGCCTGGGGTTTCCCTGCCCTAGTTGTGGCCTTGATCATCTTTTCAAAGGAGATAATTAGCTTTGATAAAGCTAATCATAAATAAACAAAAACACCACCACTTTTGGACAGTAAACATTGAAGTAATTGAGCAAATTCTTAAATACTCTTTCCTCATGAAATCACTCCATTTAATTCATTAACCAGATTCCATCTGGCTCTGAGTAATGCCTGAGGCCTGTTTTTAGAATATGGCATGCTGTACAATTATAGGAACAGGTAAATATCTCTAAACTGGAAGGCTCTATAGTGTTACAAATGCTGTGCTGGAGTGTACTTCTGTTAGCACGTGGCATTCCTGTGAAGCTGTATTCTGAGCTAATCTTTCTTCTATTTTCAGTTTAAAGATAAGCTTAGAAAATCAGCATTCTCTAAATTAGTATAAATTGTCTATACCTGACTTTCATCCTCCCGAAATGTGTAGAAGAGCAGGTGGATTATACTAGAAAAGCCTCAGGAGCTAAAATGCTTTTTGAATAACTATTAGCTGGAGTTCTGTGTTCACCTGATTCCAGCACAGTAGGAGGAATGCAGCTTTGACTGAACAAACACCAAATGACAAGACTTCAGCTTTGGATGGTGTTAATGGGTGGGTGAAAAAAAGTATTACAAATATGCATACAGAGACTAATATTTCTGCACTGGGTCTGGCTGGGATGAAGTTAATTTTTTTTTTTAACAGAAGCTATGTGGTGGTGTGTTTAGGACTAGTTGCTAAAACTCTTGATAATGCACTTGCATTCTGGCTGTTGCAGAACAGTGCTTGCACAGCATCAATGCCTTCTCTTCCTCACTCTGGCCCCCACTCCAGTGGTGGTGGGCAAGAACCTGGCAGCTGGAACAGCTGACTGGATTTAGCCAAAGATATTCATACCATGTAACATCATGCTCAGCAATAAAACTGGGGTAGCAGAAGTTTTTGGTTTGTGGTTTCTTTTTTGTCTACCTTTGCATCACTTGTTCTCTTCTTCCTCTCCTCCTTCTTTCAGTAATTAAATCTCTATCAAGTTCTTGCCTTTGCTCTTCTGTTTCTCCTGTTGTGCAGGAGGTTGAGCAAACCAGCTGTATAGGTGCTTAGCTGCTCACTAAGTGAACTCACCACAACTTCCTTGTTCTTCTTCCAAGTATTTATCTGTTTTTCCTAACCATTTTAGTTTTTATAAGACATATTTTCCCCCTGTGGGGTAATTAAAATTGTGTTTTAAATAGTATGTTGTGTCAAATATTCAGGAAATCTAGAAACTGAAAAATCCCCTTCTCATCACATATAAAGATGCCTCATAACTATTTATATAGCTGACTACCAGTACTATACAGATCCATATACCTGACATGCCATTTTTACCTTTGCTGTAGCCACAAGAGTATTTAACAGCAAGTTACACATGAAAAAACAATACTAAAGTTGGTTTCCCAAGAAACTAAAGACTACCACTTGAAATACACCATATAAACAGCCAAGCTGCACAGAACATACGGAACATAAGACTATGTTCTGAGACTCTACTTTTTGTTAACGCTTTTGTACCTGGATAGAAGCAGAACCTCTGTGGTAGATTGGCCAGGACTGCCAAGTATGCATTCGGCCTGCATTTGGAGGGAGAGCTGCTATCACCTTAAAACACTCACAAATGTCTTCAACCAACTTTCTTCCTGCTGCAAAGACACCTTCCCGTATGAACAGTAGGCTTCTGAGGTCTTTGTACTAGAAGGAACTTCCACTTGCAAATTTCTGCTGTCTCTAGAGACAAGTTTTACAGTTAGATATCTGTGAAGAGACTGGATTTGAAAACCAGCTGAAAGAAAAGTCATATTTAACATGCCTTTGCCATCAGCCCTCTGTACAACTGCTTCCACATGGGCAAGGTACCACAAATAGGGTTTAAAATCCTTGTAAATACAATTAGATCTGAGACAGACAGAAAGGAGAATATAAATCCTGACAGTGCCCTCCTGTCCCTGTTGCTATTGACCAGTACACCTCTCCTTGGCTAATTAACTTAAAGAGCAGAAACCACTTAAGCAGCTCTGTTAGCCTGCAAGAGAGCTGCCTGAGCCTCAGAGGAGGGTGATTTGTGTTTGTGAAATGTGTGCCTATCCCCTTGTGAGCTGTCAACTTTAATTGTGCTACAGCTGGTGTTGATTGTCAGTGAATTGAATGGGGATTTACTGACTGTTTTTATGTCTTTCCATCATACAGACACAAGGCCAGCTCTGTTCCCAAATCTATATGCTACACACAACCACCCTGAATGGCTCAGCTCTCCCAAGCTTCAGATTAGAGAAATTGTCTTTTGATCAGTGCAGAAACAGAGCTTAGGCAGCAGACCTAGAAGCTGGCTGATGTTGTTCAACTGCACCACCTCTCCCTGTTGGGTCTATTTAAACAGTCATTTTCCCTCCCCTTAACATTCCTATCACACATACAAACTTGTCCTGTCCAGAGCTAAGGTGCTTAACAAACAAAGTTTGGCTTTAGAGTCAACTTTTTGTGGTTTTTTTTGTTTGTAAAGCTAATAATGTAAACTAAGTTTCAGCATGAAAACAAACAGAGCATGCAGGCACTGAATGAACAAAGATTTACAATTTGCTTCAAATTATAAATGAAGATCTTAAAATACAACTTGTCCACTGAGACATAAACAAAAGCATTCCTAAGAGAGCCTGAGAAGGGCTTGCAAATATAAATGTCTCCACTGTTCAGAGTGGTCTCCAAACAAGCAAAAGAAAACAAAACCAAAACCCACACAATTTCTGAAACATCACATTTGTTTATTTAACTTTACTTGTATCTCAACACTGGGAGAGTTATAACCTGTAATCGACTGTCACCAGTAAAGGCTACATCCAGTGAAAGTTAACTGGCACTGTTCTCTTAAGTGAGACAGCTGATAAATCCTAAAGGTTTCCTTTTCACAGCATTAAACGTTACAACTCCCTTCAGTAAGGACAGGAATGGAACAGAATACAGCAGCATGTGCAAAGCAGCCTACTTACAGTGAAAGTCCTAACAGCTTAGCATTTATCATGGGGAGATGTGAGGGAGAAATAAATCACTTATCAGACACCTCAAAGCCTCCTGACATAAGAATAAATAAAATCAAGTAGTGTTGTACACAAGTAAAAACCAGAGCTCCTCTGTTGTGTCACTCTTCCCTGACCTTTTGTATGCATTCAGACAGATCACCCTTACAGGAATATGTTTACACAACAGTTAACCCTTATAATAATTTCTTTGTGTTATTTTAGGATAAGCCAGTTTCTCTTACAAAACAAACAATAAAAAACAGATAAATGGCATCTGGACAAGACAGAAGATTACATTTCTCTTATGTAGGAATTAGTCTTAGAGCTACTAGTTTTTTCTTCTGAGACTAAACTTTTTAAAAATTTGAAACTGCTAGCCCCCTCAAATGCTGCAATTTACCAAATGCTGGGGGAAAAAAAAAAGTAAAAAACCATAATCCTCACCTGACTTTAACCTGCTCTGGAAATGCACAGTAATTACTTCAACCTCCATACCCTACAGGAAGGACCAGATACTCCAATTCCTCGACAGGACAGTAACTTGCTACAAAAGTCATTATTTGCAAGAGCACGGGGAGCTTCAGGTCTGAACATTTTAATTGCAACTGATGGCAGAATACCCAGACTCCGCAGGAGGAAGAGCACTGAAAAAGAGATGTTGAATTAGTTCCTGGTGTTGGCAGTAGTTCTGCATTCTAATTTCACCAGTGAACACAATTATCATCTTCTTAGGCTTAGGCTTCTTAGAACCTACAGTTTTGGAGATTAACTTCCAAAATGTTTAATCAAATAAGCAAGATATAAACATCCTCCTCGTGCCAGAAGAGAGCGCACAGAAGGCCAGAAAGAAAATGCAAATGTTTAACATTTTGATTTTTGCCAGTCTCTCTTCAAGTCAGTTTATGTGCTGCTCCCAGATATTACTGACTCTAGGACACCTCAATCAGAATGAAGTGAACACTGAGGTCTGGAGAAGATATCCATCCAGGCTACACATGCAATACAGAAAAGAGATAATCAGTTCTCACACAGCTTGCAGTTTAGATGTGGAACTCACTGTGATAGGATATTATGTCTAAATGCTCAGATAGTGACAAATTTCCAGAAGAAAGTTCTGTCATGGGCTGTTAAACATGGAGATAAAGATGGAGATAAACCTATGGCTCAGAAAAACAGAAAAAACCTGGAAGAACTTAAAATGGCAAAGAATCACTATTTGTTAAATAGTTTACATGCCGTTCCAGACTCCCAAGGTAAAGGGAAACCACAAAGGCTAACTGACTCGCCACATTCATTTTTGTGAGGTACTAAATTACTTGCATTTTCTGTACAACAGAATTAATTGGCTCTTCTCTAATCTGCCAGGCTAGCATGCAAAATACATACCATTGGCTTCTACAACTCATAATCAGATTGCAATTAACAACAATCTGCAGATGGCTGAAACTTACAGAGCTATTTCTAGAGAGCTTTTTTATTCTCTAAGAGACAAAAAGAACTTTGAAAGTTTATCAGAATGTCTCCAGAATGACCACTATTCCTATACAAATAAGCTCCTATAAGATAATTATTCAATACATAAAACCTTACTTTTAAGCTAGAATTCTAAAGTTTTAGAACAGAACAGGTTCACAAGCTTCAGCATACTGATCTAGTACTCACTTGGAAACACTCCATGCACTGATCATTCCTAAGCTGCACTGGTTTAAAAAATAAATAAATAAAAATCCCACTAGAAGACATGAACTCCGTCTCCTGACTTGGAAAAAGCTGCAGTCATTTCAGCTACAGCTATCTTCAGGTATATACAGCTACCATAAAACCACAAAATAAAAGAAGTGAAGTGTTCACATTTAAGTAACACATGAAAAGGCAAGTAACTGAAAATTATGGTCGATAAGTTACAGATGTTTAGGCAGTAAGCAATGGAAGACAACAATCAAGAGGGTAAAGCAGAAATAAAGAGCACATCAACACTTAAGCAAATAACCACAAAAATTAAACACCCATTACACTTCTCTATTTCCCAAGCCACAGTAAAGTGATCAAGGTGTATACCCAAAGAACCATTCACATATTTCCTTATAATAAATAATAAAACAGATCAATCCAGATATTTTGAAGAATCCACAGCAGTTAAGAAATCAATTATTTTTAGTATTTATATCATCATTTGAAAGGAAATGCAGAGTTCCAAATCCACTCTACTTTCCACTAGTCCTCAACTCAGCTACGAGTTTCACCAAAACCAGAGAAATAAGCCCCTTTAAAAACCTGGCCTAGAAAAACCCTCAGAACCACTGTGCAATCAGTTACAAAGACATTTAACTATTTGTTCACCACTGAATTTCATGGGACTATGCGTAGTTACCTTCGGAACTACAGCTATATTATGATGCCACATAGAGCAGTAGAAACTGAGTTCAGTGAAATGCATCAGTGCAGGCAGGATTACAGAAAGAACCCCTACACACTCTATTTTGACATAGCCAGAGCAGTTTAACAAAGCTATTGAACACTATGCACAACAGGACATCCCACCCCATGCATGGAACCCTCCTTTACATTACAGAAACAGAACTGTCATGGGGGAAAAGAAAAACATTATTTCATAGGAAACAGCAGTGAAATGGGAATGAGAGAAAGATACATTTTGACAAAACAGAACTGATGCAGTAAAATGGATGGAGAACCTAAAAACTTGGAATAGAATTGGGTCATATTCTATTTATGACTTGTTCCTGAACATTTTGTAGTGAGAAATTCACAACATCCTACAAGGTGTAGTTCTAAAGCAGAAACCATTAAATTCAAAAGTATTACAAATATTCAGAATTGTCCCTGTATCAGACTTCATGAATTATAAAAAAATAAAATACAACCTAACAGATATCTATAAATGCTGTTGCATATTATATGGGTTTAGTATTTGGTCCCGGTTTTCTTCATACTTTTCTATCATTTTCTGCATGTCGTGGTCAGCTCCAATAACCTTCAAAACAAAAACATTAACATTACAAGTAATTAAATCATTATATATATTTGCTTCTGAGCAAAACAGACCTATCACTGAAGCCAAGCTGAAATACTCCTAAATAAAAGTGTCCAATTAGTTCTGTGTTTGGAATTTGGCACTCACTGGAAAGCTGCGTGTCTGATCCTGCTACACAAAACAAATGAACACCCCACAAATTCTTCAGCGTTAAAGATCAGACTTCCACTATACACTGTGGACGCTACAAATGTTTTTTTTCTGGGGTTATTAATAAAGCAGCTTTATTTACTTTCACCACTAATTAACATTCTTAGTATTGAAAGAACACAATGCCCCACATGCTTATCTGATTATAACTAAAATTATACTCACAAGCACTGGGCAGGAAACTTTAAATAACGTATGTTTAATGAGCCACTCTTCATAGAGCTGATGAATAGCTTCTAAATATTCCTAAAAAAAGAGGTATTCAGTTACACACAACTCCACCACAACAGTCAGCTATAGTACACAGATTACTAAAACAACACTTGGGAAAGTCAGCATGCATGACAGATCATTTTTATACAGTAAATCAAAATTACATGGTAAGGTATTGGAACAGGCTGCCCAGGGAGGTGTTGCAGTCACCATCCCTGGAGGTTTTCAAAGAAAGGGCAGATGTCACACTGAGTGACATGGACTAAAGCAGTCACAGGCATGGGCTGATGGTTGGACTAAATGATCTGAGAGGTCTTTCCAACTTCAATGATTCTACCATTCTAAATACTGAAATATTAATTTGTGATGGAATCTACAATAGAGTACCTCATGTTGGAAAGGGCTCCAACGATCACCAAGTCCAAATCCTCTAGACAGCTCCAGTAGACTTTTGAAATACACTCGGGATGTGATTTTAGTATTTAGATTGGCATTACTGTGTTTTATGCTCACGATTACCACATATACTGAAGGAACTCTTTACCAGAGGAATGATTTTCTCTTCTTCTCTGCATCTTCTCTTTAATCTCTCATAACAAACTTCAGGAGATGTCTGCAGGTAAACTAAAAAAAAAAAAAAAAAAAGCAAAAAAAAAGCTATGTAGTTATATATAAGGATAAGCTTTAAAAGCAAAGAGGAAATTTCACAAACTATGGAAGGAAAGGATCCTAATTTAGGTACCATCACTGAAACTCCCCCTTTGGTGTTACTGCTAATCAATCCAAAGAGTATCAGTGCATTCATGCAGTCTGATGCTAAGCATCACAGCCACTCTCATAATTATTAATGTGATTATTCACAGCCAAAGAAATAAAGAAATGTTTCTCCTCACAATAAAGAAACCCACCCACAAATGTACCCTTCCAGTTCCCATCCAAATTTTACCGATCAAATCAACTGAAACATCGGTGCTCCTCTGGATCCAGTCAAACCATTCAGACAGGACAACATAATCCACCTCTGGCATCTTCCCACTGAACAAACATAAAGGTCACCATTAATTAAACAACACACAAAGATCAGTTCTAAACTCATATGCATTGCTTTTATTTCTTTTAAACCTGACCAGAACTACTCTGTGTTTATTCCAGCACATGGGAAATGAAGATACAACCAACATTAGAGATATTATAAAGCACTGTTTACACAAAAGTTCATTTTTTTCCTTTATCTAAACATGCCTACTAGCATGAAGTTTCTATCATTAACAGTTAAAAAAAAATATTCCCTACTACAGTTAAGAAATACTTACTTGGTGACTAAAAAAAAAACATTGCACTGACATGTGTACTATGATAACAAATGAGTATCAAGTGTATTTATTGCTCAAGTTCTTTATGTCAGGATCATTTCAAATACATCTGAATTGCATGACATCAGAAAGGCTTGATTGACTAAGCACTGACAACTCATTATAGAAACCAAAGTAAAGAGCAGTGAAAAAAACAATAACAATGGAAATACATAAAATTCCTTATTAAGAATCACATACTATATTTTTACTGGTCTTTGCCATATTCCTAAATACTCAAATAGTATTAATTTCATATTATTTTGACTTCAAAATAAATTACAGTAAGCCATACTCCACACTCTTCCTTAATTGTCTCTGTAACAGAAATAGAGGGGAAGAAAGAGATCACATTTAAAGAATCTGATCTCCTCAGCTGAATGATTAAGACCAATTGCAATATTTTAAATGGTGCTGAAGATTCCACAGATTTCTTAACCATTTCTCTCGACAACATTTTTTGATCACTTGCAAAACTGAATAAAGATAATCCAGGAAGATATTAACCATTTCAGTATGCAAGAAAGCAAAACCAGAATTCGTGCCACCTCCCTTCTTTAACTACCATCCAGCTGAATATCCTCCTTTCCAAAGGAACCAAGAAACTGGTTAACACAGTTCTTCTGATGTATCAACAAGTGTACAGTTCTGATAACAGGTACCTAGGTAAACTAAATTCCAACTCTGCAACTTTTCTCTAAAAAAACAGGAAGTTCAAAAGGAATTAGAAATAAGAGAAAGCTCCACCATTCCTACCCTAAAGGATACACCCTCAGTACTCCACTAATCTACCCTGCAGACAACACAGCTTTGCCTTCTCTGTCTCAGTCCCCTGGATAATCATGTGAGGATTCCTGATCTGGCTCAAGGTCAATAAAGATACAAGTTTTGCTGTATCTCTGAAAAGTTTGCTGACATTTCACTTCTACCAAGAAAAGGTTCTATTGCAAAATAAAACAAATGGAAATAGCTATACACCAAAAATACCCGGAAACTCATGAGGGACAAAATGAATTGTTCAGGCTTACCCTATAAAATATTCTATATACTCACATGCATGCATTCAGAATTCTTCTACAGTTTTACACCTAACATGAGTGTGGCTTTCGGTGCTAACCTCAGATGTGCAATCACAAGAACTTGGACACTCATGTGTCTGTGCATGCCAGAGAAACTCTCAGCAATTGCTCACAATTTAAGCCTTCCATCACCATCATAAATCTTATTCTATTTCTCTCTCTGGGAAAAAGCCTACAAAGCCAAAACACAAATCCTGAGTGACACTGGATCAAAGAAGAGCTGGGATCCCTGACATTCCACTGCTGTCCATCCCTTAAGCTAAACATTCACCTAAAGGATTTGTATAGACTTGCATTGATAGCAAGGGATTCTTATCCTTGTTATATGTATAATCCTTTTACAGACATTTGTATTTTGGTTTGCTATTCGTACTATTGGCTGACTTCTCATCAGCTTTAACAAAACACAGCAAGTGCTTTCCATCCAACATTGAAGAACACTAAAACCGTTAAACTTCTTCAATGCCTGTCAAATTTTTGTTATGAAATTAATACACACAGCTGGCACAAGCATACTTAGCCTCCCAGTTTCTTTTTGGACAAAAGCTGTTAATCTACAGTGAAAAAAACATCACTAACTATAAACAAGAAAGACATTCCATTTACATTTCCACTGTACACAGATGGGGTAAATAACATCTCTTCCTGTTCCTGTGTGCCTCACATCTGACTGTCCCTCAGTAACTTTCAAACCAGTTCTGTAGCTGACCAGAAGGCTATGAAGCACAGATGCCATCTTGTGGTGTGCAGCTCTTCTCCCTGAAGACAAGGCTAACTAAGAATTGGTTTTGTCCCTCAAGACCACTGAAAAAGCCATTAAAAAAGTATTACATATTTTGAATACACGATTGGCATTATAAAAAAAATACCAGTTCTGATTACTGCACTATTTTACTTAGTATGGGGTTGGCGAGACTAGGTAACACGTGCTTTTTTCTATCTGAGGCCACAGAATTATTCCTCAGAACAAAATAACCTCAGTTAGACTTGACTGTCCAAGCACACTGCAGAGTTGGGGGGGGAGCCCAGTTCAGAAATTGACAGTTACAGATCAACAGTTCTCACTCTTTACTCAGAAGCTGACCAAAGAGTTTTCAGTCAGTGCTGATCCTATGAATCCCATCTCTAAGCCATAGCATGTGAGGGCTGGAAGGCTTGTTGCTCGAGTTCCTGCTTGCAAAGCACAATAATCCTGGATGCTAGTTCTCTCTTTCCCGCAGTATTTTTCTTTATAACCTCACTTTTTTTCATCTATTCAATACGTTTGCTTGGATTTATTCAGCTGGAGAGTAGATAAATGCAATAAATGGTTTTATAAATACTAAAACATTCTAAACTCATCAGCATTTCCAAAGAATGCTCGCATCTGGCCCACATCCTATGGGCTTCATTCTACCAGTGAACAGCATGTCCTCTCCAAAGCGCTCTGCCACTCCAGCAAAGGGCTGACCAAAACACAGACTGCTCAGATGCAAACTACCAAAGAAATCATTGGTTGATTATTTCTTTTTTCGTGCAATTAAGCAAAGAAAAAGTAGAAAACAAAATACCATACCTTCTATACAAATTTTCTACAAAAATGTATTTTGCACTGTGAATCGATCTCTCCATCATTCTTACTGGGGAAATCTGCAAAATAAAACTCGACAGTCACAAATCAGCTTACATTTTTTCAGCATCTGTGTCTCTTAAAGCTCATCATGTCTGTACATTATGAAATACATAACGTTATCAGTTCTTCCAAATGTTGAGATAAAAAAAATCATTGGGGAAGGTGAACACAAAAACAGTGCTAATAATCTCATGTGTGGTCACTACATTATTAAACATCTCTGTAGCTAAATTGTTATACATATGCAAGTTTTGAGGTAACCACAGCAGTACTCAATTCAGAAGATGAAGCTAACTAGGGGCACAAAATAAGCAGCAATCAACTTAGCATTTACATAGCAGCAGAAGCTGCTGCTACCTAAATGTTGCCATCTTCAGGTCTATTACCAAGTCAAGGGTGCAGACCTTACAGCAGAAAAATTATAGCAAGAAAACAGAACTTTAAATCTGCCCTAAGGTTTATTCATCTCCACAGATGTCAAAGAAATATCCTGACTGTAACTAAAAAAACATAATACATGAACAATCATTAGGGTCTGAGTGTGCTCCTTAAGATCATATCCTACAATCAGGGAATGGAAAATACAGCACAGAATCTATTAAAAGGTGTTTGAAGGGAAGGGAAATGAACAGATCTTGATCAGAAGAAAGAACATGTGTATTAAGACAGAGAAAGAAAAAGATACAAGGAAAAAAAAGAGTGTAAACCACCTGAAATGAAGCAATAGAGAATTTAAATAGAAGCATTTCAGAGAAACACAAGAAGCAATAGCTATATCTGTGCTAAACAGCATGGAACATCTTCATGATTAACTAATGCATGCCAAAAGTTTGTGTGATGAAGATGCTGCTGCAAATCTAAGTCTTAAGGGTGCTGCAAAAGAAGCAATGCTATTTTTGTGAAGGTAAGGTTTTGAGCTAGTAAAAAGCAGATGTTTCACTCTCTGGAGCCACGATCAGAGTGTATCAGCAGTATCTATGCACCATAAATGCATACTCATTGCAGGAACAAACTAAGAATGCACACAGAACCCTAATTTTTGGATGCAAGATTAAATTCTCACTCACAACCACATCTTATCAACAATAAGATTTTAAGTTAAAAGAAAAATATACTTATTTACCATTGGTTTGGTATGCTGCTCCAACATTGTAAGCTGTATGTAAGTCTGTAAGGTTATCCCCCACCTCGAAGCATCCTGGTACATTAAACCCTAGGGTTTGAGATGGAAGCAAGACAGAGGTTTTGTGGCTTTTGTTTTGTTCTGTGGTTTGCTTTCTTCAAAGGTTGAGAAAAAAAAAAAAAAAAAAAGAAAAAAGAGGAAGCTGTGTACTTCATAAACTATATCAGGATTGATAAAAAATGCCAGAAAGCAGCTGTCAGTAAGTTTTGTATTAAGCAGTTATTAGTACTCCACAATGCACAGTTAAGAACTACAGTCGTGGCCCTCATGACACTGGGCAGGTGGAACAGTCAGTGAAGCCAACAGGAATTTGTTTCTCTGCACTTGGAACAGCCAGGACCAAGACACAGTTTATTTCAAACAGTTTATATATGTTTACCAATTAAAAATCACACGTGCTGATATATTTCTGTGCAGTGACAGACTCAGTACACCCAGTACCAGAAATGCAGATATAGTTCCAGTAAGCACAGTCTGGGCCCCAGAAAAGGTCTTTTAACACAGACCATTACAAATGCTTCTTCCTAAGAGACCCTCAAAGCATTTCTCAATTGCTTTCTACAACTTCTCAGAGTCTCCTCATTGATTCAACTCCTCCAGTATTGACAAGCATCAGTCTGTCCTATAGTGCAGAAATAAGGTATAATTCTGACCTCCTTTTCTCCCTGTCAACAATCAGATCAAAAAACTAATCTGAAGTCAGACTGCTGTGATTAGACACAACACAGCCCAGCATGCTCCCCCTTTTCCTAATAACAAGGAAAAGGAAAGCATCAGCAACTCCTAGGAAAGCTGACTTTTCTACAGGACCTATGCTAGTAGTAACGTCATCCAATACATGTTCAGACATATGTGGGTTGGGCTATATCTACAGTGCCGTGTGACAGCAAATTCCGCTTGTGCATTCGGGCACAGATACACATCTCAGCTAACAACATGATTTTGACAATGGAGGCGATCATCCAAGCAGGGAAGGCTGACATCACAAACCATTCAAGCAAAGCATTACCTGCAGATATGGTCAGAGCACTCAGATTTAGATTTATCGTCTCAGAGCACAGATGTGACAGTGACCAACCTGCAAAGAATGGCTACAAAAAGTAGCAACTACCCAAAAGACAACAGAAGCTCTCAGTGCCCAGAACTGAACCTTCCTTATCTTCAGCAGCTGAACAATGTAAGTGGATCAGACACAACTCTCATTATCTGAGGTAACTTAATAGGAAAGACATTCTTCTCTTCTTTGAAATAGTAATCAGTCAATTTCAAAACAACAGCCACAATCAGGGCTTAGCTTTCTGTGAATCCTTTAGCAAACGACCCTGCATAATCCAATAGTGGGTCTGTACCTCCTCCTACAATCCTTTTGTACAGCCAGGCCATGCTGCCTTAGCAGAGTTCCAGTGTTTGGAAAGCAGGCAGGCATGCTGCCCCTCAGCACTGAGCCATGTGAAGATCAATTCGCAATGTCTGCTGAAACCAAATTTTATTTAAAAAGGTGTCCATTATATGCATGTCTTTATCACAGTAAAAAAAAAAAAAATATTCTGTATCACAGAGCATTATTTCTTGCAGTATGAGATCATGCCCACACCTTTCTCAACAGTTTTAGTGACTCATAAGAATTCCTCCTTAACGTATTTCTAAATGAACAATGATTGTAATTGTTGAACTTGTTTCTGTTGCTTACCAGGATATTATGACCACGAACATTTCTCCATTTACTCACTGGTTCTGTCAAGACCTTATTAAAAAAATATTCTGTGTTAGACATACTTTAGATTTGAAATACCAGGCCTTACAACACAGCAAAGACTTTTAATGAATATTTGTTTAGTAAGTGAAAGTATTCAGGTCATGTACTGAAAAGCTCATTCCCCTTTAATCAGGAGCCCTGAAATACAAAATGTAATGACGAACTGTTAAAAAACAGACAAGAATCATTTCCATACTATTACTTTCTCATCACCTAAACAAGAATGGATTGATTACATAATCCTGTATTTAATTCCACTTTTCAAGTCATTTATCAATATGATGTAGGAAGACTGGCTAGCTGAGGATGCACTGCACTTAATTTCAACATCCAACCCATTTATTCATGAAATCATTTCACGTAGAATAACATCTATTAGATAAGGAACAAACAACCAGAATGCCATTGGATTGCTTTTGTTTTATTTTCATGATCTAAAAATTGATGCACATCCAACAGTTCAATAATGTTTAAAATCAATCAGAAAAGCTTCTGTCTACCACAAAAGCCCCATCTGGTTTGGAGAGGGTCTACAACTCCAGCAGCAACATCCCATCAGGTCAGTTAACTGGGCTTTAAAATAAAGTTGCACTAAACCCAAATTATTGCTTGCTATCCTTTGGGTTAATAATTATTTATTTCAAAGGAGTCATTAGTAAATAACATCTGCAAACCCAGCATTTCTACATGAGATTCTAAGACCTTTTATCAAATTTGTTCCCAGGTCCATTAGAAGAATTATTAACATCTGAAGCACACAACAGCAACTGTTCACTGAGGCTCAACCCCTGTGTTGTTTAAAACATATCAATCCTGCCCTACCGCTAGCCTCGTTTTAAGGAATATGAAATCAAATACCATACCAGTCTAAGCAGTTATTAGGAACAATTACAGCAGTTTGGGTATTTTTAATCTATTTGCAAATTTTATTGATATTTCAGTATCAAGTACTATATTACATACGATCTACAAATCTCTTCCACAGTTTGGCTACTAATAGCCAGGGGAGGCAGTGCACAGCTAAGCAGGTGCAGCAGCAATACTAACACTGGCACACAGCCTGCTGCCCCAGCTCAGTACCTGAGGAAGGACAACAGCTCTAAGTCAGCCATGCTTTTGCCACAGCAAGCAGCCACTGCACGACGTAAATACAGAACATAAACCCAGTACCTCAATGCTGGTAGTCTGTGCAAAATAATCCAAGCATGTCGTCTTTCCGCTTGCAATATTCCCCTCGATGCATATCTGAAAAAAAAAAAAAAAAAAAAAAAAAAAAATTGCTTTTAAAAACTGTGCTACTGCAAAGAAGTGAGCAGCGCATGTAAACGCGGCAGGCAGTGCGGGGACATCGCTGACACCGCTCCGCAACGGCCACCGGCAGCGCCTGTGAGAGCCCAGCCGGGCGCCTCACACGCGCTTCTGAACGAGACGCAAATACTTACAACGGTTTTTTTATCACCTTCTTTTATCAGATGCTTATCTAAAATGAGGAAAAAAGAAAAAGCGGGAGTTACAACCAGGAAAGAGATCTTCATACCATATCTATTCTGCGCCTCTTAACGCGAAATCCTCCACACCCCCCATGCACCGCTTCAGCGCGGGGCGGGGCGGGGCAGGGCAGGGCAGGCCGGGCCCGGCCCCACTCGCGCACTTACAGCCGCCGTTCCCGCCCGGCCCAGGCCGGCCCCTCAGCGCCAGGCCGCCCGCCGAGCAGCTCCCCGCCGCCGCGCCGCTCCTGAGGCCGCGGCGGGCCCCGCGCAGCACCGCGGGCCGCGCCCGGGCCGCGCCCAGCCGCCACATCGCCCATCCCCGCCGCCGCCGACCGCTCCGGACCCGCGGCTGCCTCCCGCTTCCGGCCTCCGGCGCGCCGCTTCCGGTCGCGGGGGTGGGCGGGACGGTCGGGACACCGCCCGCCAGCCGAGGCGCGCTAACGGCCGCGGCGGTGCCATGGAGACGGTGGACGCGGCGTTCCCGCGCTCCGCGCGCGGTGCCCTGAAGATCGCCCGCCTGGTAGGCGCGGCCCCGCCCGCCCCGCGGCCCCTCTCGCGGCCCGGCAGGCGGCTAGCGGCCCCTTCTACTCTCGCAGGTGGTGGCGGTCGTAGCCTTCGTCTGCTTCGTTGCCTCCCGCTCCCACGAAGCCTACGCGGCGCTGGCGGTGATGGAAGCCCTCGTCACGCTGCTGTTCTTCCTGCTGTACCTGCTGAAGCTGGACAAGAAGCTCACCTGGCTCTTCTGGCCGCTGGCCGTGAGTGGGGCGCGGCGGGGCGCGGGCGGGTCTCGTCTGCTGAGGGAGCGGGCGGGCGCCTCGCTCTGATGTTGACGAGGTTCTACTCTTACCGCTCCTCTCTTTGTGTTAACGTACCTGTTGTTTTAGTCTACGTCAGTGTAGCCGAGTTCCGTAAATTCGACTAAAAAAAAAAAAGAAGTGCACAGAGGTGCGATGAGGAAGTTCAGTCGCACGAGTGCTTTTAGCACGGAACCGCCGGGTGGCACCGCTGCTCTTCCGAGGTTCTGGCAGTTCATTCCTATTGTCGCAGCAGAACAGCGGTCTCTTGCCGACCCGCAGCGGCAGCTGCTCGCGTTCTCCCCAGCTGTGCACCCCGCACTGAGCATTTCGCCCCTGCTGCCTTTTTCCAGGATATTTTCAACTCGGTGGTTGCAGCTTTGTTCCTGCTAATTGTGGGCTTGTTTGCAGTCATCATCAAAACCAACCACGGGACGCTGGCCGGAGGAGTAAGTAGGAACATATTAATTTCGTTCTTAAAGCAGATATGATTTGGTATAGTTACATTTGTATAAGAATGTGAAAATAATTCTGTTACGGAAGAAAACACCAAGAAGTCACCAACAGAACTGATGCACGTTTAGTTTATCTCATTTATAAAACCTTCTGAGTAACCTGCCCTTACCTCCATAGCTTGAAATTCTGGGTGGGAGAAGATAACGTTCTTTAAGAACTGTCCTGTTTAGTTACAGGACGTAAGAGGAAACGCTGCTCTCTTACTGACCTTATGGAAGCTCTTTAACAGATACATGCTGGTACTTCCCTTATGAAGCGTATGTTAATTATTTTCTGTGACAAACTGAGAAAATGGTCTTTGCACACCATGAAGATTTTCGTATGCTTGTGATCAAACCAGTTCACTAGCTTAAGCAATTGGTATTACTTAAAAGAAAAGCTGATGTGACTAGCACACAACAAAGGGGAAAAACTCAGTTTAGAAAGTTTTGAAACGTCAGTTTCCTGAAATACAAAGCTAAAATGTGATGAGTGACCAAAAAAATAAAGAAGACAAACCACCCAGAGAACTCGTCCCATGAGTTTTTCAAATCAGCTTCAGAGTCAGCTGCACAGCTGGTGTTTTAGTTGATACCACAAGCTAAGCAAAAAGGGTACTGTGTGGTAAAGTGGCTGCTGGGAAATCACTTCTCAGTTGTGAGATGAATAGCAGTTAAAGCTGAAAGCAGGAGGCAAATAGAAAGCTTGGAGAACGGGTTTGGGCAGAATGTATGGCATCTTCAGTGTCGAAAGAAAGAGAATTGCCCTTAGGCTTGTGTTCCTAGGGCACATCTGTCTTGAAATCCTTAGTGCACAAAAGGCTTGCCTTAGCACTACTATTGCTGATCAGATATCGCAGTTTTAAGACATGCTTGAATTAAAAAAAACATGTGTGAGATCACTGAGAGGCGAGAGCTGGGGAAGTCAGCTGTGAAGTCGTTGTTCCAGCTGCCTGCCTGAAGTTTTTAAATACTTCCGTACATTTTCTTCAAACTCAAATATGTTTTCAGTTCAAAGCTTCTGAGAAGAGGAGTGCTGTTGTTTTCCTTCTAGGCTTGTTTCTGCAAATGATGACTTTACTTTGGGCCAAAAGTAAGCGAGGCAGTAGTTACAGAGACAGCAGGGTTTTCATTTTGGATAAAAGTGCTGCCTTGCATAATGTAGGTTTGGCTTCACTTTCAAGAAGGAACCTCCTTTCCAGCTCCTCAGACAAACATCAGACAAAGCCAGGCCGTGGACTTCTCTGACAGTTTGATGGGATTTAAATATGGGTGTTATTTACCAGCCCTCTGGAATCACACATATCTAAGCCAGGGCCAGCTCAGGGAGATGTAATTGCTGCTGCTCACTACAGTACAAGATAGAGGAAACTAACAGCATGATTGTTACTTTTGCAGGTGCTTGGTCTTGTGTTGCTCGTTCTCTGTGTTGTTGATGCCGTTGTTCTTTTCCAGAAGATTAGCATCAGTAGACCAAGGGAAAGGAATACTCCTGCAAAATAGGATTTCCATTGTAGCGAAAGGAGAGTTCCTTGAGTGTTTTACTGCTCACTTGTTAAAGAATATGGATTTTCATATGTTCACCTTTCAGCTCCTGTGCGTTTTGCAAATATAATTCTTAAGCATTCTCACGTTTATAGATACAGTTCCACTGTTACAATCTCACCATTTTAAACTTCAGAAAATTGTCCCGTGTGTAAGAAAACTAACTTCATAATTGTCTTTAATAAAGAAGTCCATTATTTAACATTCTTGGAGTACTTGAAGTGAAAATGACTCGTGTATTAGCGCTTAGTCACCCGCGTTGCGCCCCTGCCAGCCGCCCCGTGCCGAGGAGCAGCTGGGGCTGTGCGGCTGTGCTGGCAGAGCCCGTCCCGTCCCGGCGGTGTCACGGCGGTGTCACGGCTGTTTGGAACGGCGCGGGCCGGGGGAGTGCGGGGCCGCCCCGCCCCTCCAGGAGCAGCCGCTGCACGTTTGGGGATGCTGAAAGGTTGTGGGGTTTTTTTTTCACGTTTCCGCAGTGTCATGATTTCCGCTTCCCTCCTTCAAAAAAAAGAAAAAAGCAGCCCGCAGCCGAGCGCCCCGCAGCCATGGAGGAGCCGGAGGCCAACGCGGAGCCGCCGCCCGGGCTGCGCTCGCTGCTGCCGCCGCGGGAGTTCCTGTGCTCCCGTAAGGGGCAGCTGCTGCTCGCCGAGACGGTAAGGGCCGCGGGCGGGCGGGCGGCTGAGCGGGGGTCGGGACGGGGCGGAGAGCGGCGACGGCGCTGCGGATCGGCAGAGCTGGAAGGGCGGGGATGGCGGCCGGGCACGGCGCGTTCAGAAGCCAAAACAGGAGCCAGGTTACGCTTCCACTGCCCGCGAGCCCCTTCTTGGCTGAAAACGTCTGGTTTCGTTGCACGTACTTTAACCAGAAAGTCCGACCCGTGCACCAGTACCGTGTGGGAGGGAAGGAGAATCCCCGCCTGGGCAGTGGGTATCTATGAATCGAACCGGATTTCGGGACGGGGCCGGGGAGCTGTGCGTCTCGTGGCACGGCCGTCGGCTCCTCACAGGACGCCCCGACCGCTGCAGGTCCCACCGCCCCATTCCTGCAGCACCCGTGGCTGACAGAATCACGCTTGGAAGACGGCAAAGCCCAATTAATTCCTCTTTGCTTATTAGCACGTACTTTTGTTACGATATAACTTTTACTGGAAGTCCCTATAGAATCTCACAGCCAGTAAATGACAACTTCCACACAACCTGGCTTTGTAACATCTCCAACGGATGATAGATTTGAGGAATACCGTTGTGGTCATGGCATCACTCACCCTTCCATGGCCTCAGGGAAGTGCTGGTTGGTTATGCTTCCTCATAGCAATACGAACCGTTCTGCCCTAGCACAAGGGGATTTATCCTCTAGCAGGGCTTCCCGAGGGCTAGGCAGGCTGGATGCAGCTCTGACCCATCCCAAAGCTGCAGCCTGAGCTCACCCTGATCCACTCAGACAGCACATCACCTCTGGGCAGCAGTAGTTTCTCTTCAAGTGTCAGCTTGGCCAGGAGAAATCCATGAAAACCATAGACCCCAGAATAAATCCAGCCTGCATACAACTAAAGAAATATAGGGCCAAATATTTAAAGATGAGTCCTTGTTAAATCTACCAACTTTAAATGCGTCTCAGCTTTAACTGTGTATTTTTTTTATCTTGAATGTCTGATTCCTCTTTGACAGGGTGCTGATGTTGGGTGGGGTTCTAAGTGCAGATTTTGAACAGTGTCTTTTATTCAGGCCTTCTCATTACTATTACTGAATACATCATTATTATCCAGCATCTTGGCAAGTCACAAGAAGTGCACTTCATCTATCAGCCTTTAAAGTCATGCAACTATCAGCATCCCCTCATTGCAGATGAGGGATTCTCTGTGCAGCTAAACAAATACCAAGTCATTTGTTTTTCTTCAACATCAAAAAAAGCTACTACCATATTCTGAAAAATGTCTCCTACCCAAGCAAAGAAAACAACTTGCAAATATATCTTGGCTGGGGTGGAGGGTTCTACTTCTCCTTTTCAATCTGTGGCTAAAAGGGAACAAAAGTTGGCAAATTCCTTCAGCCCAGTGACCTCAGTGGCAGTGTGCTTATTGGGAGTCACCTCATTACACTGCTTTGTTTTGTGCAATGCAAGGGCCAGCATACAATCAGTTCAGCTGTCATAATTCACCACGCCTCAGTCAGTCTGCTATCATTTAAGACAACGGCCACTCAACCATTCCTATTCCCTCATCTTGCCCTACTTGAGGTCCAGATAGACAGAGAGGACAATCTGGACTTACTTCAGCAAGGAAAGCCTTCAGCCTTGGCAGAATACTGATAAAGAAACTCAAGTAGTCCAGGACTGCTGTGCTTGGGTTGAAGGCAGCTTTTAAAAAATGTAGCAGCGAGGTACATTTTGCTGTGAAGTGGATGGTCACAGTGTTGGGGTGTGTTTCTTCACGTCAGCATGTACACAGCACTGCGGGCCACCAGCGCTGGGCGTTCTGGCTCTTCCTCTGGAACAAGTTATGCTGCTGATGAAGCTGATTGCTGCTAGAAGCTTAATTATATTCTCAAATTTTATTCAGAAAAGGAAGTTGTTTTGATCTTCCTATGAATTTTTTATTCCATGTGGGACAGCCAGGCCGCCACCAAGCAGCAGTAACATCAAACACACACACAAGCTTTGTCATCTCTCCTTCTGCTGTTTACTCTTCCCGTCTGGCTCCTCTGCTTTCTAATCATTGCTCTCTCTGACAAGGTTCCTTTCCCCCCCTTCTTTTCACCCTTCCTTTTCTGTTCTTTTCTCATCCCACTATTTCTTTCACGTACTTTAAAACCCTTGCCTTCAGCTGTTCATTTTCCCTAAAAACACTCAAGTTGCTGTTTTCAAGGTCAACATACCATCCATGCTCTCTTCCTTCTCTGAAACACTTTTTCTGTTCCTAATAAAATATGCTATGAACATACGAGGTCGTTCTGTGTAGCACAATGTAGAAATCATTGCGTCTGTTCTTTTCTTCTTTTCCTGTCTGTCTTTTCTCATTTCAGTCTTCTCTGAACTGCACTTCATGACTGAAACCTTCCTGCTCTGCGCACAGCCTCCTTGAAGATCCCCGTGCCCCCTGGGTGCAGCCAGCCCTGCTGCTACATCAGGGGCACCGAGAGCTTCGCCTGCACCAGGAGCACAATGGAGAAGTAACTGAATAGCAGAGACCACTAAGGCATTTATCTCTGCCAGCAAACAATAACAAAATACACTGCTGTCCAGAAGAGATCACCATTAGCCACTTTTAAAATATTTAAGCCAACCTGTTGTTCTCCGAGCAGCAGACATTTAGCCATGAGCAGTGAGAGGAGCCCAGTAGGGTGTGTGTAGCTGTGCATAATGATGTCAGCTGTTTCCTGGCATCCATGTCATCCCCATGGGCTGCACTGGGTCTGTTCTTTGTGCGCAGGGAAGGCAAACGCCTTCACATATCCTGCCTGTGACCTCAGCACTGCAGCAGTCCTCCCTTACAGAGCACACTGCTTTAATTGTTGGAATTAACTGTATTTTATACCTTAAATTGAAGGCTGGTTATATGACGAAGTGTTGCCTTCCCAGCGCCCGCCAGCATAAAAAGCCAAGGAGCACAATATCAAGTAATTGTTACATGGGAGAAAACTTGTTTTTTGAAATGCAATACCAGAAAAGTTCCTTTACGAAGAACTATTTTTTAATTTTTTGTTTTGTTTCCATGATGTATGTTCCCATCCTCACAAAAAAGAGGTGCTCAGGGGTAAAAAAAATAAAAAAAATAAAAAAAATCAGGCCTCATTTTCACGGGACTTTTCATGACACCATTGCCAGTGGCTCCTATTTTGTTGTTTGCTGAACTGGAACTCCCTGCATCCAAATATTGCTCCATGGTGAAGGCAGCCACAACCACGCTGACCTCAGTAGCAGGAACAGCTCAGGCTCCTGAACTGCTCTCAAAGGATGCAACACCAGGGGCAAGAGAAAACCCTCAGTGTGAATACACTTTAATTAATACAGCCAATAAAACATCACCCCCCCACACCATGTAAAATACATCAAATGAGTTCCCTCTTCTGTATGAGAACTCTGGTAAGGCTGCAAAGAGTATGCAAGCAACAAGCAAATAACAGAATAAATATTGACAGAACACAGCCCTGATGCAAACCAGTTTCTTACAACCTAATGAAAGAGGAACAATGCGTAAGCTTTTAAGATAAATATAGTTTCATACTAAAAATGTCACATCCTCTCAAGTTTCACCACCCAGTCCTAAAGAATCAAAACAATACACTCCAGTCACTGTCATCCTGGTCAACTCTTTTGGAATTTAGAACAAAAGCTTGTTAATTCCTTACATTAACAAATCACTTCAGCAGGACTCAGCTGCTTATTTGCCCCCTACACATAAACAGGCTCTTTTGATACGTATATTTGAGGGCTGAGTGACTCTTATAAAAGCAATTAGTGTCTTACCTTCCAAGGGTAATATGGATATTCCTTGAGGTACAGGTGATGCTCTCACAGGGAACACACAGCAGCAGCAATGAAAGAAAGCCACAGTTCTGAAATTCAATGAAGCAAATATACTAATCATCTCAATTGGAACATTCACACTATTCAGAAAGCCATATCTGCCTTCTAAGGTGCCATCTGGGGGAGAAGTATGTCTGTTTTTAAGATCAGATGAGCAAGAATGTGAGAAGCATCCCAATTTAGAATTAAAATCTATTCCTCAGACAGTGCCTACCATTATGGCAACCAAAACCATCTCTAAGCATCTAAGGCCAAAACGTGCCTCCAAAAGGAAAGGCTGGATGCAGCATTTCCAGCTGCAAGTCAGCACATAATAACTACAGCCGCAGAAAGTGTTGTCTAATATGGCACCTACCATGAGACAGTAGAACTGGAGCCCCTTGGAGGTGACCAGCTCAAAGTACAGGACTGGAAAACTGTTCAGTTTTGCCCCAGTTCCCTCACCTTCCATCTTCACATACAAGTAAGAAGCTGGAGATGTCCAGAACAGCAGCACAGCGCTCCAGTACTGTCTGGTTTAGGTGAAAGTACATTTTCCTTGGTCATTTTCCCACTGTAGCAATACCTTGAACTACACGTTACATATTAATGGTATTTAAATTGAATGGGAAAACACACTTTCTTGTTATTTTGTAAAGTTATAAAAAAAAATTATGGAAATAAATAGATCTACAGGGGGCAGCTATAACTCTCTAAAACAGTTGTCTACACTGAGAAACTGGAATGGGAGACAGAGAAATCATACAACAACTCACTACTGTCTTTTTTAGCCATTAACAGTAGATGTAATTTCTTTCAACTCAGAGAAGATTAGAAATGCTGAGTTACTTTTGGTATCTGAGCAATGATTTGCATTTCAAATGACAGCTGCCATGGCTGAAAGCTCAAAGCTCTGTTTGCTTGACAAAGTTCCACTGCATTTTCAGAATTATGTTGTCAAGAGTTGTTTACAATCCAGAACAAACTATTGGCTCAGGTGAAAATCTACCAAGCTCTCTGGGAAGCCAATTGTAAACACACTGAAATAAATGACATGACTTCAGATTTATTCCTCAGTGAACAACAAAATTCATTTTGTGCAAAAAAAAAAAAAGTAGGAAGCAAGGTATGCCATCATCAGCCCAGTAACACTTCAAAGCTGCTCAGCTGCCTAAGACTCTGCCATTCCATGTGAATAATGAGTGTTTTCCCTTTACTCTAGGTGCTGTCATTTATCATCTTTATCTGCTATATTGCATCTTCAGCTTCTGCGTTCATGATGGCACCACTCCTAGAATTTCTGCTGGCACTGTTTCTTTTTTTTGCCTATGCCTCTAAACTTAATGAGAAGTTTAAAGGACTCTACTGGCCCTTGACAGTAAGTGAAATATGAACTATAACCACAGATTCAATTGTACAATATAACTTCAGAAAAAGGACTATACTGGAGTTTCAGTAGTAAAGCTATTCAGGAGTAAAGCTATTAGCAGCCAGCCTTATGAGAAGTTTCTCCATTTTACCTTTCATTCAAAAGGTCCCAAAGCACTCTTTAAACTATGTTCTACATCTTTCAAGGTATTGACACATAGCACTGCTTTGTTAGAGCATGGGATTTATGCCTGATTCTGGGCAGATGGTTTTCAGAAGCAGTCAACATCAGCCTGAGCCTGTCCAGTGCTGAGGTCTCAATGATACTGCTCCTCTTACACATGGTGAAAGTGAGGCATACACTTAATTGTTTTAAAAATTTCAGGTAAAAGCTGTTTAGATGCAGATATCCACATGCATTTAGGTACTCACATGCTGACGGACAACTGATTGTGTTAAGTGGGGACGTCCTGCTGTTCCTGCTGGTAGAGGGATGCTCGCTCACACAATCGCTGGCTGCTCTTTAGGACATTTTTGCAGTTGCAGGTAATTACTGCTCAGTGACCACTGGATGTCTCTGCTGCTTCAAAAATGCAATATAAAGGAAGCATTAATCTAGCACTACCCATTCTTTGAAAGTAAATAAATCACTAATGGAGTCAAATTGGGCTCTCACTTTGGTACAGCTTTGCAAGAGTTTACCCCAGTGAGATTTGAGTTAGTGTTCTCAATCAATAAAAATAGCATTAGAAAGGTCTTTGGTAGATAAAACAATAGTAGTGACTATGAAAGTTTGCCTGTTTTTCAGACAGTAATCTCAATTTCATCATACAGAACTAAGAAAAAAAGCACCTGTATATTTATTACATCCACTACCACAATATACTCAGCCGCAGAACAGAGGTAACTGACCTCGCTCTGACTCCAGACCAATCAAGCTCCTCGTAGATTTGTCTTCAGTATCTTACCTGTCCATCTGGCCTGAAAATGCAGATCTGATTGTGAACAGATCATGATACCATTCTTTCAGCTCACATGATTTACACATGCCCTACGAATCACAGTTCTTCTTTATCGAACCGTTCACAGATAAGGCTGCTCCAGCACATCACTGCTTGTATTACAGGGCATGGCTCCCGCCCAGCAGAGCTGCACTCTCAGGAGCTCATGCCAAGATTTCAGTCATTTCGTATGAAATATTTCCCAGAGGAACAGTTCATTTACTACAAGGTACCATGCTGTAGTCACGTTCCAGCATCAGGCAAGTCAGACATAGCACCAAAGGCTTACAGCTTCTCAATTGATTCTCAGAGGATTATGTGTGTTGGAATTATGAGACTCATCTGATGCTGCCACACTGCTTATTTTACAGGATTTCCTGCGCTGTGTCACTGCTGCTATTATTTACTTTGCCATTTCGATCGCTGCTGTCTCAAAATACAGTGATGGAGCATCCAAAGCAGCAGGAGTAAGTAGATGTCAGCTTTCTTCTTAAATAGTTTAATGAACTGTGTATGAACATGCATCAGAAACAAATTTTGACCCTACTGCAAATAGTAAACACTTGAATTCAAAGTGAAGAATTTGCCTAAAAAGCAGGGAAAAAATAGTCAGTTATTTAGGAAAACAGGTTCTGAATCAACAAGTAGCTGTTTTCACCCTAATACTGCTGCTCAAAGTTAATGGCATGACTGTGGGAAAACCAAGTATTCTGATTATTATTATTCTGATTTGCAATTTCACTAGCTGTGCCAAAAAGATATAAAGATAAAAGATAAATTCTCAACTGTTCCTGCCAAAAAACAAATGTAGCAAAATCAGCAATAATAATACATGTAACTACTAAGGATGGTCCAAAATAAGTTATTTCACCTTTGTGCTTCAAATGCATAATTCTGCTTAGATAAACTGAAACAAGAGCAGTCATCACTTTACCCTCTTGTATGTGGGCTGCCCAGGAGAGAGCCTTCGCTCTCAGCATCAGCACGTTCAGAAATAAGATACAGCTGCTGCAGTTGCAACTTGACTATAGGCATCAATAATTTATGCATCATAAAATTTGCACAAAGACATGACAAGCTAGAGAAGAACTACACCCAGTACTTTAAGCCACTGACCTTCACCAAGCAATTCCAAATCATACACAATTTTAAAACTAAGATCTTATTGTAATTTGTCACTCGGTTGATTTGGTTTGTCATTGATAGACATGTTGTTAAGGATCTCAATAATTTTGCCATTTTAGGTGTTTGGATTTATAGCCACAATAGTGTATGCTGTCGATTTCTACATAACATTCAATGACCTGGTTACTTTTCTCAAGCAAGGCAGTTCCGAGCCCCCTGAAAGGCGCAAGTCAGAAGGTAGGTAAAATCCTTTTGGTCATACAAGCATGAAGTGTGATTCTTCTCTATTTCACCCTTCGTTTGTCAGCAAGAGCACTCAAACAGCAAGAGTTTCTATTCTCAGCTACCATCATTTGTACTAAGTTTTCAACTAAATATTCAACTAAGCCAAATTGTGAAGGTCTCTAGTATTAAAACAGAAGAACTGGAATTTTCACAATTTATTAAAATCCACACAAGCCAAGAATTTGAGATTTAGTTTCTCAGAGTTGCGTGCCATCCAACTTTGAAAACCTCCTAAATCCAATTATAGAAGTAATTGTGCAGCACAGATTTTAGTGAAAGATGATTTGAAGGAACAGATCATAGGAAACAGACTGTTAAAGAGATTAAAAGCCCCACAATCTGAAATGGCCTCAGAAAAGGATCAGGTGATTAGGGTATAAAATTAGACTAAAGTTAGAGTCTTATTGGCCTGGAGATGGAGAGAAAAACTTTTGAACTTGCAAACATGCAGCCACACAGCTGTGCTGGGGATGAGACTGTGAAGAACCCCTGCCCTGCAACACTGCTCCTCCAGCACAAAGCCACGTTCATAACATGGCTCTCAACAACAGGGGACAGAATTCTCTTGCTTCTTGCAATCTGAGTCTCATACTTGGGCAAGATGCATCTCTGTATGCCCACAGGGATTTGTTAATGCCCCAGAGCTTCTGGCTTTCAGATCTGTTTAACTGGCAGTGCGTAACCATGACCCGCATCAAAGAGCAATACTTCAGTACAGGAAGCACATTGTAAGCAGGCTTCCTTTCAGTGGTCACACTAACAGAAGTATCTTTGCAACTTCTTTCATTCGAACTGTTGTCTATGTTGTGGCATTTTTGCCAACAAGTCCTTTGAGATGCCATTTAAAGCTGTATTAGGATAGTCAGAACAGGCATGTTACAAACTCCTCCCCTAAATACGCCACATCCTTCGGAGCAGGCACCCACAGAGGAGCAGCAGGTCTCTCTCAGCAAGAGCTAAAGCTGCTCCAATTTCCAATTTGTTCTCATTATTGTGTTTTATTTGGTTTGTTTTAAATTTCAGATGAAGACTCTGATTCTGACTCAGACTGAAAAAACAAACACCAGCTGAGTGTGAAGGGAAGATAATCAAGCACTTTCTTCTCTGCTGAATGCACTGCCAATTGAAACATCTCTCTTACTTCAGCCTCAATATCCTCTTTCCACTTCACTGTTTATGGAATCACCAAAGCATAGGGCAGTGATGTGGTGAAGGAGACCATTCCCAATACCATTAAACACTCTTTCAGCAATAAGGATTTACAATACAGAACTAAGGCTTCTACAGATTTCAACCTCCTAGAGGCCTGCATCCAAACAACCCTTTGTTGTTCGGCATACAATGTGCTGAGTAAATGGGAACACAGTATTTTAAACTTATAACAGAGCTTTTAACATGCTTTCTTAATTCCAAGTCTTTAACACTTACTTATAGCTTTAATACTTCTTGCTGTGCCAAAGAAAAGAGGCCCAGAACGCCTCTGTTTCACTTATATTTTTCTTGATTAACTAACAACATTCATCTCAAGTCTGAGCATTCCACTATCTCAACCACATCAAGGCATAGATTATAGCTGGTTTCAGGACATCAGTATCTACTGCCTAAATGTTGATAACATAACATTCCAGTGACAACTGGAAATGAGCAGCAAGCATAAATCTCAAAGTGTAACAGTGCCTCATCAGACATTATCACTTTTTAAGCTGCCTGGATGGGGTCACGTTCTCATCTTCTGCAGTTTCACCACAGATATGTGGTAGAACAGAAGTGGAATCTTACCAGCCCCTTCCTACCATTTTTGTGGCAGCCCTTGTACGTGTGCGTTTGCACATACAGGTAAGGAAGGCTTGCCAAATACCACCCAGCCACACTATGTGCCTATGAGAGCTTGCACGTGTTTGCGTGCAAGGTATCGCTGTCTGATCTCATGCTCTATCTTGCCAACGTTGGTCTTCCAATGAGAAATAGCGCTGTAGTTGCTCTGCTGGGTCCACAAAACAGATGATTGTATCAGAAAAAACTCAGGATACCTGGACCTCCAGAGGGCAATTTCCTTCCCACTGTGAAGAGGTAAAAAAGCCAACCTCCAAACTAAAGAATGTCTGCACAAAATCCATTTTCTCAGCCTTCACCCTTGTGAAAGGACAAGATTTACTTTAATATTTTTGGGAAAAACCTGAATTTACAAGAACATGTTTTCATGGGTAGCACAACCTAACTTGCAAGTTGTGTGCCCACATGTAAGCACGTATCACTTGGAAACAGCATGGCATGCTTCTCATATATGACAGCAGGTATGTTTCAAAGAAACCTGTATACATTAAAATAATTAGTATAGCAGAACATGTTGCTTAAAAAAAATACTTAAAGTGAGAGCAGACGGTACTAACAATAAATGAAAACAGAGCTAAAACAGCAAAAGCAGATTTCATTTGGAACAAAATGACTGCTTGAGTTCCAATTCCCTGCTGGCAGCTGGCTGCTAACAGGCAAAAGCACGGTACCTGACAGTGAGCTGGTGCTTGGGAAGGTGCTGGCCAGATCTGGAGATGTCTACCAGGCAGCTTCTACAACTCCTGTTCTCAGACCACTGAAGGAATAAAAGCAAACCAGACGTTTGCTTCCAAATGTGATAAACAATCTTTGCTTTTCTGAAAAGAACTCGTTGGACCTTGTCTTGTTTGAAATCCTCTACTTCTTTCCTCTCTGTTGTCATGTTTTACTGACACTCACTGTGACATCAGGGGATCTGGGCTTTTTATATTCAATTGATTTGTATTTTTTTGTATTTTTTTTTTTTTTTTTAAGTGTACTGCATGCCACAGCCAGAAACTAGTACATGATTAATATTTAGAAACCATGCTGGATTAAATCTCTTTTAATAGAAACACTGGGTGTCTTTACTTAAACATCTCATCCTTCCCTCTAAACAGTTGAAATAACACTATTTCAGGCAACTCTGTCACAAAGGACACTGTGTTCTGGAGATGCAGAGGACAGCACTGGCAACCAATCACGTGTGGTTACATATTTTGCAAGGAGAATCTTCATCCTTACTTAAGCAAATAATAATAAATAACCAAGCATTTGTTTTAGCATATTTAGTAGGCATCAGATACATCTTATTTGGCAAATAACAACATAGAAAAATAAGATTCCCCTTTGGGTTTACCCTTCATAGACACACAATCACTAGAAAAGCTTGTTAAATTTACACATCAGAATACTCAAAATCAACAGTAAAAAAGAAGCTTGCTCACTAGTTGCTTCAGGACTTCATTAGGCATGTGCTGAATTGCCTGTTCAGACAATTCAAGCATTTGATGATGTCATTTATTTCTAAGCAGTTAGCTCCCAGGGTCAAGTGGTTGCTTGATTCCAGCCTTTTAAATAAAAAGATCTATTCCCACGATTGAAATAAAATGCATTTGGGTATTTTATGAACAGCATTTCAGAAAAGAAAATCCAATTAAAAATAATTCCTTTAAAGCCAATACTTTAAAGTCTGGTGGATGGCAGTAGTCTGCCTGGTTTTTGTTTGGCTTGTTTTCTAGACTGTAAAGATCAAAAGGAGTGGGAGCACTGGTTTCTCCACACTCTCCACACAAGCCAAATGTTACGCCTGTGCTGGGTAGTCTTATTTGTTTTTGGTGTGCCAGCAGTATCATAACCAAACGTGTCTTTTCAGTAACAACACTCATTCCAAACAGGAGCTGTTCAAAAAAGTGTACAGGTTGATGTATGCCTTCATTACAACTAGAACTCAGCAATTTCCATTTTGAATTTCTGTGCATGCTGAACAGCGCTCAGCAATAGTGAAGCCTGGGAATTCAGAAGACGTTTCCCCACACCCTTTCAATTCAGGCTCCTCTGTCCTTCGCACACGCTGTACATTACTCCACTTCAGGCTGCTTTTCACCTATGTTCTTCAAAGTCCTGAAAGCCTTACATTTCCAATTAACAACATAATTTCCAAGGTACTACTAAGCGATCCATCTCAGCCCACGTGGTATTTGAGAAGCATGCTTTCACCAGCCTGGTGTGCATAAAAGCAGATGACTATTTAATGCTTGGCATAGCAAGCAGATGTTTTTAATTCATTACGCTTTTGTTCACTGTACAGTTTTCTAAGCCTATATTTTACAGCTGCATCTTCCCTGCTAGGAAAGCAGTGGTCTGCATCAGGAAGTGAGTATGTACAGCCAGATACTGGTAATGCACGTTCTTGACACCTACACTTCTAAAATGTGTAAATAAAACAAGGCATCGCATTGCTCGTAGGCTCAGATGAAGCTTCTAACAGGCAGCTTATAACTTTGATTTTTGAGAGATTAAAAAAGTGACTTCAACAATCAGGATACAAACTGTCCCCTAAAAGCAAAGACAAGGTACATAACATATTTTTATGATTCACCTAGCAAGCCTTGGAACTCTTTGTGAGCTTATGTCAAGGAAGCACAAGAAATTTACATAAGCACTGAGAATGAGAGTCTTCCTAGAAGGTATCTGGGACTCCTTTTTACGAGTACTGGTTTAAAAGTCAGGATGCAAACACCTCTTGCTTCTTCTAAATAAACAGAACTGTTTAGAAAAATAAAGCACACTCACCTCCACTGCATCACCTTCACTGGGAGATGTCGCAGTACTCTGAATGCTGTGTAAGACTTAGAAGGTAAAACAAAAAGATTACATGCACTCAGAGAACTTCATTTTTCCACCTATTACCTTGAAAAAGAGAAGTGATACCAACATTCATTCTGAATCAGGCAATACTTGTGCTTTTATGTATTTTGGATGTTGTCCATCACGTTTTGCTAGCCCAATCCTCTACATTCATAAATAAGAAATCAATCACAGTCTTCCCAGGAGAAGTCAGTCAGTCTTCTGTGTTTAAAAGACAGACAAAATAAAAATGATTTGTTCTATTCCACAGCTGATAAAGCTTCTCTTGACCACGGAACACCATGCCAGCAGCAACATGCCATTACCTCCAGCACTGACCATTTGGTTTCTTGAACAGCATCAGTTACATTAAGGCCTGATCCCTAGGCAAGTCCAACAGATGCAACACCACAACTTGTTAAAACCTACCACTGCTGACCACTCTACATGGGCAAAATGAACCAGTCTATCTTGGTGAAGAAATGCACAAGCACACATCTGTCTGTGGTGAATCCTTCCACAAAAGTTCACTGAACACACCCCAACTAATGTCACCTCCCCCCCCTAACTTCTTATCCTCCTTTGCAGACTTTCAAGCATGCAATCCACATTCCCACAACACTCACTCAGCCACCTATGCACCAAAGCCATCTGAATACCCAAAATACAGGTCACATCAAGGTAAGGTACGTGACCTTTAGCCCAGGAGATGGCAGAGCACTACCCACTCACTGCACATTTCAATCCTCAAACCTCTTCTCAGTCCAGAGCACAATGCTGCAAACCCAAAATACTTGTTTTGTTGTTCCAGTGTGCCACAGAAACCTCCAGAGTCACAGAAACCTCAGGCAGAAGTCTTTTGTTCAGCTGGTTGGGGTTTTTTTGTTCGTTCTTTTTTTTTTTTGGTTTTTTTTTTGGTTTTTTTTTTAATAACTCTATGACATTGTCTTGCATAGAAAATGCATTTAGCAACCACGCTTGCTGGATAATCAACTAATCAACCATAACACTGAGTTTACATATTGCCTTTACAGATGAAGACAATCTTTTAGTACTTCAATATGTCCATTTATTAAACAGGAAGTCCTTCACAAATGATTTCATACTATATTGATCAAAGTAAGTGTTAGAAAACTACAATTTTCCCTACATACAAAAATACAGACTTTAAACACTACGAAGACATAATCAGAAGAGTACCATGAAAATCCACAGAGCTCAAATCTTCAAATATCAGAAGGAAAAACGACAAAGACCTCTAAATTAAAAATTTACAAAAAGTAACGTGCCCATATACAAAAGATTGGAAAAGTAAATTGACATTTTAAACTGATAAATACACCGTTTAAATTATGCTAGAATTGTATAGATTTTTAAAATAAGGACTGCTGTATTCCAAGATGATTCTTCAACGTGTTTTTGTTTAGCTTTAAACCAACAGAAAACAAGGGCACAACATATTGAAAAGCCATTACTGGTATAAAAAAAACAAGGTAGGGGTTGTGTTTTCTTGTACAGTTGCCTTTGACATTGTTCACACATTAACAGCATGACATTCACAAACAGAGCTGGAAGATGCTATCCTTACACACGTAAGCTACTGCTGTTAATACTGACAAGACAGTGATCACAGCCAGTTGGTACTTCTACAGACAGCACTGATTTTACCAGCTGGTCTGTGTGCAATCTAATTCAAAACACTAAAAATACTTACCAAATACTGTGAGATTGCTTCAAGGCTGTACATGGGCTCTATACAAACATTTGTTAGCTTGTGAGATTCTTCAAATCCTTGAATCAGAACATGCTTTTGGTGATAAATGGATGCCTGATCCTGCGGTCTCCTAAGTCAATGGGGAACTTTGCCTGAGTAAGGACAAAAGAGCCAGTTTCTGCATTTGCAGCAGCATATACTGAACACTTAAAGAGATTTTCCTTGGCAATATATTACAATTTTTTGTACTTCAAAAGCAAAACACCAAGGGTATTACATAGCAGAAGCATACTGATAAGTCAGAAGAAAAACTGCACCCCCTTTGCTCAGCCCAGGGATGGAACTCTAACCCACTGCCTTTGACTGACATTTCTGAGCTGTTCACAACTACAAATCTGTCAGTATAGGAATTGTACACGAGGGACAAGTCTTACATCCAGGCCCAGATGTTCCTTCCTCAGACACCATTAAGCATACATATAGCTACTGTTAGGAATGTTTAGACTGCATCTACTGTGTTTCTCTAGAGGAGCCCAAATTAGCACCAAGGATACGGAGATCCCACACTGAGCACTTCTTTATACATGTGTCAAGGAAACAGAGCTGAAATACC